TTTAACATAACATATTCATATATTTTTACAATTACATATTTATAAATTGTCTTATGTTACTTTTTCCTTATTTTTATTAAAAACTTTATTGTAACAAGAAACATTCATAACGGGGTACATACTTAAAGGAGAACTATGGGGTTAGGGCTTTTCCCCATAGTTCTCCTAAGGGTAACGGGAGGACACAAACTAGCGTCCTCCCGTCACCCTAGGCTCAGTATATAGGGAGCTACAGCTCGCTGTATACTGAGACGCCGCAGCCGAAACGGATCCCGACAATTATGTCTGGATCCACTCAGCCGTGTGAGTGACAGCTGGCTCTGCCTATCTAGAGGCAGAGCCTGCGGTACCCGCCCCGTCAGTTCCGCCAGTCAGCGCTGAAGGATCGGACAGGGGAGGGGGGGGGAATCCCTGCAGGGAGCCGTGAGTGACAGTCACGTCTCTCTGCGGGGACAGGATCGAGAGGTGAGCGAACCCGGTATGTGTTCTCTCACTTCCCGATCTACTGAGCCGACCTGTGACAGTCTCATTGTCACAGGTCGGCTCTAACTGTGAGGGTGAGTGAAAATCACTCACCTCATAGTTCTCCTTTAAATTTTAATGTTTCCCTCCACAATCAGATACACAGTTACTGTTATACATTAAAGCTATGATTTATTGCACACAGCTTTAATGTATAACACAGCGTCACAGCTCCTTTGGTAGAAAGACATTAAGGTAATGCTTCTTGTAGAGCAATGTTGACTATGTTGGAACTGTATAAATGGCTAAAATAACAAAGTATACCAAATTATAAATTGTATTGCAGAGAAAAGCTCTCCCAGGTGAGACAAGCCGGGATAGAAGACAGAGACAGCAGTGAGGATGCTGCGTACTGGGAGACGTCTGCACACGTCATCCCTGAATCCCGACTCAAAGTGTGGGATGCCCTGGAGTCGGCCATAGAGAAATACTAGTAAGTCTGGGGAATGGTAACCGATAAGCTTGCAGTCCTGGCACTGACCTTGCATCAGTTGGTGATATGAATGTTCTATATTACTGCATTTCTTAAGGCAACCAATCAGAGTTCATCTTCCATTATACTGACTGATTTATTCCACGACATATATGTTGGTTTAGCATCTTCAGGGTATCGCATATGAACGCTACATATTACTAATGTATATACTTTGTACAAAGGTTCACATGAGGATTCATTGTAGCAGCTTTTCACTTGTTCTTCTTTTTATTTATTTTAAGCATGTATATATTTATTGAGACATTTTCAGTACAAAAGATATGATAGTATATTCAGTCATCGGAAATACAATAGAACCATAGAAATGTAACGTGGAAAATAACTTTTTAGTTAAGATCAATGAACAAGGAATGAGCAAAACATACAATGCACTAAGGAACTTGTTTCCAGGTAATGATGAGCTGGTAAAAGAAAGAAGCTGTGATTGTCGAGGGGGAACTATTGGAAGAAGGTAAAAGGAAAAGAGAGGAGAGATTAGCACAGGAAGGGGAGATGAAGAGTGACACAATGTTCAAAGGAGAGGTGAAGATAGAAGAAGTATGAAACCATACGGCAGCCTTATAGGAGAACTATGAGGTCAGGGCTTTTCCCCATAGTTCTCCTAAGGGTCACAGGAGGACATAAACTAGCGTCCTCCCGTCACCCAAAGCTCAGTATAGCAAAACAAATGGCAAGCGCACTCATCAATTCGTTACCAGCGTAACAGCAAGGTGCACACAGAAGGGCTTCAAACTTTTTACTGTTTGAAGCCCTTCTGCGTGCACCTTGCTGTTACGCTGGTAACGAATCGATGAGTGCGTTTGCCATTTGTTTTTCTTGACTGATTTGGTGCAGTGGCGCATGGGGGGTCTCAGCTGCAGTTGTGATGTGCGGGGTCCCTTGTGCGCCCCTGTGCCTTTAAGGGAGGTTGGTGACCAAGGTAGTTGCGCTAGGATATATGAAAAAATCAAAAACCAAAATACAAAAAAATAGGAAAAGATATAATAGTATCAAAAATATATAAAAATATCAAAGTATCAAAAAATGTAATCCAAAAGATTATAATCCAGCTGCAGTAATATCTATCGAAGTGATCAATTGTGAACCAGTGTGCTGCGCTTGGTATTGCAATACGGGAGGTTGGGCTTCCTCCTGACAAACCTGCACCCAATGTAATCTTTTGCCCCAGGTGCTCCAAGATGGAGACTCTCATAGTTTAGAGTTAGGACCGCACTATATGGAGGTGCCTTGGCGCGGCTGTGCGGCTTTCACATTTTCTGCAGAAGACGTGTATCTAAACCTCTGTTTTTAACCTTAGCGGTGAGACAAGTTTTTTTGCATGCCGGCTGGTGAGTGTGCTGGGAAACTTTTTGCTGTTCCAAAACTCAGTATATCGCGAGCTACAGATTGCAGTATACCGAGACCGCCGCAGCCGGGACGTATCCCAACATTACTCTCGCAATCCACCCGCTGCGTGAGTGACAGCTGGCTCTGCCTATCTAGAGGCAGAGCCAGCTGTACCCGCCCCCTCCCCCGTCCGTTCCACCAGTCAGCGCCGACAGATCGGACCGGGGAGCGACGGTATGTGTTCGCTCACTTCCCGATCGATTGAGCCGACGTGTGACAGTTTCTTTGTCACTGGTCGGCTCGAACTATGAGGAGGAGTGATTTTCACTCGCCTCATAGTTCTCCTTTAACAAATCCGGTTGTAAAGATATATGTGTGTTTATAGAAATGAGAAGTAAGGTGGTGAAGGGGAATGTAAGACTTCAGCGATGTTACGAGGATTGTAAAAGGGATTCATGGAGAAATAGGTTGTGTGTCTAAGGGTAAATAGTAAAATATATATATATGGAGTAAGGGATTATAGGACGTCTAGTTTGCCCAGGGAGCCGTCGGATTTGGCTAAAAGGTACCCGGCCCAGTTCCGGAAGATAGACATGACATATTTTCATTATTCTGTATTAAAGGAGAACTATGGGGTCAGGGCTTTCCCCCATAGTTCTCCTTAGGGTAACGGGAGGACACAAACTAGCGTCCTCCCGTCACCCTAGGCTCAGTATACCGCGAGCTACAGCTCCCTATATACTGAGACGCCACAGCCGGAGCGGATCCCGACATCGATGTCTGGATCCGCCCAGCTGCGTGAGTGACAGCTGGCTCTGCCTATCTAGTCAGCGCTGGCGGATCGGAGCGGAGAGGGGGGAATCCAGCCCCTCCCCTGTCACGGCAGAGAGCCGTGACAGGATCGAGAGGTGAGCGAACGCCGGTATGTGTTCGCTCACCTCCCGATCTACTGAGCCGACCTGTGACAGTCTCATTGTCACACCTCGGCTAGAACTATGAGGTGAGTGAAAAGCCCTGACCCCATAGTTCTCCTTTTAAGTTCACTGGGTAAGAAGTTTGTCCATGTACATTAGAATTCCCCTGCGTAGTGTAAATTGTTTTTCGTGTGGAGTTTATGAGGTGATAGAGTGTAGATGTGACATCAGCGAGTGTAGGAGGGCACGTTTGCAGCCAGTTACTAAAAATGTTCTTTTCAGCTGCCAGTAGACAGCAGTGTTCCCATTAATGAAGTGGTGACAGATTCAGGGGGTGTAATAGGTGCATAAAACAAACATAGAGAGGGGCTGAATTCCCTATGGGTGTTACAAGTTGATAGAGAGGCCATGTAATGGAATATATTTCGCCAAAATGTCTGTATTATAGGGCGGTGCCAAAAGAGATGAGATGGATTAGGGCGGAGGGGGTGGCATATAAGGCAATCTTGAAGCCAATTGGATCTCCTCGGGTTAGGGGAGAAATTGAAGGCGTAGTATGCTCTGTGTATTAGTCTTAATTGGATTTCTCTCCAAGTTTCATTAGATAGAGAGAAGGAGACGATCGAGATCTAGAAAGAGGTTCTATTGCAAGAATTAAAGAGGAGCGGGGAGAGGGGGCAGCCCTGGCGGGTGCCTCTGGAGAGAAGGAAGGGTGTAGAGTGGAAAGTAGAGGTAAAGATTTGGGCTCTTGGAGAGGTATATAGCGACCTAGGCGGCCGCTATGGGGTGTGGGCCGCCTGGGTCGCTATGGCATGTGAGGGTGCTGGCTGTCACTGACACAGCTCAGCAGCGGCGCGTTTCCCCCTCACAGCCGCTGCGGAGCTGTGTCAGAGACAGCCAGCAGCTGCGGCAGAAGAGGCCGGCGTTCGCAGTGAAGGAGGAGGCGGGGCCCGCCTAAGAGCAACCCCGCCTCCTCTTACATCACCTGCCAGCGACCTAAGAGCAGGTGGAGCCAGTGATTTAAGAGGAGGCAGGGCCAATCGATAGAGGAGGCGGGGCCCGGCGACCATGGAGGCGGACAGCGCTGACAGGTAAGAGGTGTGCAGCCCATCTGAGACCCTGCAAAGCCCACTATAGAGAGTCTATGGTGGGCTCTGCAGGGTCACTCTCAGGTGGGCTGTGTGGGATCTCAAGTGAGCTGCGTAAGGGGCATAACTAGAAATCACAGGGCCCCATACAAAATTTTGCTATGGGTCCCTGTGATTTCTAGTTACGCCCCTGGGTAGAGACATACCCTAAGAAGTGTCCTGAAAGTCCCAAACGTGGTAAAACGTTCATAAGCCATGGCCAGTTAACACTGTGAAGGCCTTTTCCTTATCCAGGGCTAAAAAAGCCAGGGAGTGCAGAAATGGTCCAGACATACCAGAATGTTCCGGGGCGGTAATAACTTTGCAAATATTGATTGCAGACCTACCGGACACGAAGCCAGATTGTGGTCATGAAATACGTTTAGGTAAAACGAGTGCTAGCCTGTCAGCCATAATTTTAGATAGGAATTTTGCATCTTGATGTAACAGTGATATAGGACGGGAGGAGGAGCCTGGCTGAAGGGAACCTTTTTGGGGGTAATAGCCTGATATAGGCATCGTTCATGGTTGCTGGATATAGTCTATGTCTGGGTCGGATGTATGAGGGGTGGACTCACCCATAGGCTCTGCAGGAGAGGTCTGGTTGAGCTCTTCCCGGTCCGCCATTTTGGATGCATTGTTCGGATTGTCCGGGTCAGGTGGAATATTCCTCTTGGCGGTTTGAGAGGAATTTATCCCTCTTCTGCGGATGTTCCCCGGACATTTGCTAGGCGGTAAGAGCCAGGTGAGAGCATTATAGTGTTGTGTTCTGTGATATGCAGGACGGAGCAGGATCGCACACCGCTTATCTCATCGGGCGCCGGGAACCGGAAGTCCACTTGTTCTCTTTATACCTCTACCGTATGTATTAAGGTGATTTGGGGTGTAACATTTGTATATATATTTAAAGTGAACCTGTCACTTTGTCTATCTTCAGCTTTGTACAAATTTCAATCAGAGAGCCTGAAGGCAAACACCTTGTGCCGTGCTCTCTATAGAAGATGTTCTGTGAATCCCGCGTCAAGGTTTCATCCTGTATTACAGGTGTATATGTAAAGCAAAGTCTATATATAAGAAAAGATATAAAGCATCAGCTTGACACATATAAATGTCTTAAATGTGAAAAAATAAAATTGACCCCCCCCCCCGAGGCCAGTATAGTTTTCCCTTTACAATGGATATCCCTGTGTTGAGAAGAGTTGTGGTCAGTAATTCACTTTGCTTTTCAGTGACGTCCTGACGGGTCGAGCTCAGCTCATCACCGAAACCTCCGCGCTGAGACAGCAGAACGGAGAGCTGAGGATGTTGTTACATCAATACCTGAACTCCAAGGTAAGGAATGTCACCGAGGGGATGAAAGTCTCCTTCTCAACATCTGAATGTTACACAATATTTTCAGGATTAACTATATTTTGAAAGTGAATCTTTCACCTCAGTGGCAAGTTCTGCTCCCCTCCTCCACAGGCTGCACATA